TTTTCTAGCTGTTTTACTCTTGTGTCCATAGGGCAGGGAAAACCCCAGAATTGGGGAAGAGCCTTGGTGTATTTATACAAAGAAAAAGAAGTCTGTGGCTTGTTTTGAACCAGAACTCAGTGCCTAAGCGCTCTGGGGCACGGGCATGAGGAGTGGGGTGGGGGTAATAGGTGCGTGTGTAAGGCTCACCTAACGTTCAAGTTTTCCTTCCCAGATTAAAGCGAGAGGAGAGTTATGCCTTGGAGTCTTTCCTCTGCAGTTCAAGAATGACTGGTGTGCTTGAGAAGGCCAAGGCCGACTTTCCTGGAATGTTCACTACGAAGCATCACCAAGGTTGCGCACAGCGCTCAGTGGAGGCCAGCGAGGGAGGCAGCGCTCAGCACCAGGTGCTCGGCTTCCCTCCCTCCATCAGCTGCCACAAAACCAGCAGCATTTCGTTCTGCGGCAGGTTCTCTTCTCCAGAAAGAGGTACACTTGCTACCCACAGACCTTCCCCTCTGCCGACCTTGCCTTAATTGAAATCAGTGATCCAGTGAGTGCAGCGATTGAAATGGCCAAAAAAGGGTGTGCTCAGTGCTTTTTGAATGTTCGTGCTGAGCATCCCGCAGCCGCTGGGAGTAGCCGAGGTGTCAGAGGTGTGACGGTTGTGGCTGAAAAGGTTGTGTTTGTCTTGCAGCATTTGGGGCACCCCTGGATGGTCCTGCCCTCCCCACATACCCCGGGACGGCTCCCCTCCCAGGCTGTGCCCGCCGTTTTGGGGCGTCCTTGGAGCGCCTCAGTGGTCCATAGCAGCTTATGACAAATGCAGGGTCTGGGCCTCACCCTCAACCTAATACACTTTGATGAGACGCCAAGTGAATCACAGGCACATCAAAGTCTGGGAAGCGCTGTCACGTAGGAAGAAGCATTGTCTTCCCCTTGGCTGAAGCCCTGAGCCTCTCTGGGCGTTAGCTGCTTGTAAAAACTGCCTCCCCTGCCCCTTGTGTTGAGGCCTGCTTCAGACTGTCCTTGGAATTTGTGAAATGTCCACACCTGTACTTTATGGGCTGTTCCTCAAATCTGTGAAGTGTTCTCAGTAGGGAACAGCTATGGCTTCATATTTTCTGAAAGGCAGTGGCTGCCTTCACAGTGCTGGAGGGACAGGTCCCCCACTGGGAGGCCGGGGAGGGGGGCTGGGCTGGAACCGGCCCCTGCTTTAGCAGGATGGGGAAGAATGGATAAGTAATGCTGTTTAATTTCCCTTCATAATCTGACATTTCTCCCCAGTTCCTTCCCTATGCTGCTCACCAGCCCCCCCAAAACACACACAGTCCCAGCCGTTCTGATTTGCCCCATCTTTTTCACGGCTCGGCATCTCCTTTCTGTAGAGACACGGAGCCAAGTAAGTAAGCAGAGGGTGAGCTGCTTAATCTTATTTACATGTGATGTATTTATTGTCTTTCGTGTCCTGTAGGACTTTTAAAATATAGAACACTTTATGCCACTTTTAAATGAATCATTGAGAATTCATGTCATGCTGGGTCCTGTAATCACAGGTTTTCTAGCTCAACTTTTTGTCCAAGACCTTATGGAGTTGGAGAAAGGGAAAGGCGGGAACTAGAACCACGTGATTAGAACATAAGCAATGATTTTAAAGCATTGTTAATGTGTGATAACTGACATACATTCAAAACACTGAAACCCTGAAGTTTGTAACCCCTTCATATTCTGGAATGATGCTGGAATCAGGAGACAGGAGTGATATCTAAAAGGATAATATGCAAAGCGAGATTTTAGCCTTGTGCATGATTTTATGTTTTCAATGTACTACGTACGTATAGAACTGTTCAAGTTCTTATTTCCAATATTTATATTAGAAAAATTATACAGACACTTGATAATTTTCACCAGCTTTTTAAATAACACTTGTACTTACTGTACTGTAATAAATTTCACTTTTAACAGAAAAAAAGAAAGAAAGATATCATCCTGTCAATATGCTTCCGGTGGCTGGGGCCTCTGGCCGCCGGCCTGGGGTGAAGCTGACACAGGAGGCATGGGAGGAGTGTGGGCCCTGATGACCCTGAACCACTGAGACCCGCTGGAAGCCTGCCCCCCTCGGAGGCCCCGGCCGAGGCCCTCTGACTCCGTATCTGTTCTGCCGCTCGGCTTACAAGCCAGCACCACAGCCCAAGCCCGGCGGTGGACAAGGGCTCGGACCCCAGGGGCGCTGGCCTCTGCAAGTGGGCTCGGGTCCGCTGATGAGCGGCGGGCCCTGGAGGAGTCCTCCGTCCTGGCTGAATCGGCCCCGCTACAAAGAGCCCCAGGTCCTCCGCACCTACAGCAGAAGCGCGCCTCTGCACCTGTGTCCGCTTCCTGCAAGTGGAAAAACCCAGGGGTCCGGGTCCTCTTCGCCCCTCTGCACGCGCCCCTGGCGTCCCTTCTCACTGCACACAGAGCCCCTGGCAGCCGCGCTTTCCCTTTCAGAACCTCGCCTGCCTCTGCCGCCGTCCCCGTCCCCGCCCCCGTCCCAGCGGTCGGGGTCCCGGCGGAACCGTGCGTCCCGGCGGGGCGGGGCGCTGGGGGCCCCTCCCGCAGAGCGCGGGGCGGGCGGGGCAGCCTGTTTACCGGAGCGCTGGCTGTGCGGCTCGGGCCTGGGCGCGCGTCCGGGGCGCAGGGTCTGGGAGAGTCGCGCAGGGTGGGGACTAGGACGCCGCCTGAGGCCGTGATGCTTGCGTGGAGAGGGAAGGGTGAGCGCCGTAAACCGGAGTCGGGCAAACAGTGCTTTCGGAGGCTCACACGTGGCTTGGAGGGGCTGCAGGGGTTCCGGAGGCCGGGGCAGGAGGCTGGGTCGTTTAGGGCAAGTGCGCTTTGAGCTGATCCCAGGGGCCGTGGGCGGGTTAAGAGCTGAGTGGAGGGCTAGGACTCCGCCTTCCTCTGCGCAGAGTGTATGTGGGGAGAGGTGGGGACCCGTTCTGTCCTGAGGCTCTCAGCCGGCGGCGCGGAGGCAGCAGGCAAGGCTTGGTGACTCGTGTGATGGATGAAGGGGGCCTGAGGCCAGCGGTTGGGTGAGAGAGGGTCTCATTTCCAAGGTGGGCCGGAGAAATGTGGGCTGGGGGACGATGGCCGTGCCTCGTTCAGTTTCAGATGTGCCCCCAGTTTCAGACGACCTGCCCACCAGCGCGAACACCGCCGACCTCCCTGCTTCACAGACACAGCCTGCCCGTTCTCACTGGCTGTACCCCGTCACCCCGACTGTCCTCTCCTGGACGCCCCCTTCCTCTTTGCCTTTCCACTCCGATGTCTCCCAGGCACTGGTTTCCGCTGTCATGCTCAGTCTACTCTGGAGGCTTTGGGTGGGAGGAATGAGGGAAGCTTCCAAATCCGTGTTTCTGAGCCAAAAACAAAACAAAAAAAAACAGAACAAAACAATGCACATTTCTCGGCCCCATTTCCAGTGTACAAGAGTCACCTGAGGTCTGGAGAACAGGAAAGGCAGGTGCTCTGAGCTGGGTTATGGGTTATGGGATAATGGTTGGCCATAGGGAGCCGAGGGCCGTCCCCAGACTGAGTAGCCACTGTAGGTGAAAGTCCTTTGCCTCACAGCCCATTTTATACCCGTTTCCAGCCTGTCTGGATACAATTCGGCATCTCACGCATTTTTCAAGTATCAGCTGGCAAATGGGGAGACCGTGGCCTGAGTCATAACTGAAAATCTCACGAGGAGTCTCTTCATAAATATATGCAAGAAGAGACGTGGTGGGCTTCCCTGGTGGCGCAGTGGTTGAGAGCCCGCCTGCCGATGCGGGGGGCGCGGGTTCGTGCCCCGGTCCGGGAAGATCCCACATGCCGCGGAGTGGCTGGGCCCGTGAGCCATGGCCGCTGAGCCGGCGCATCTGGAGCCTGTGCTCCGCCAACAGGAGAGGCCACAACAATGAGAGGCCCGCGTACCGCAAAAGAATAGACGTGGTGTATGGGGACCAGGCAGAGCACCTACCAGTTTTTCATCTGGGGTTTCCTCCCCTTCCTCCTCCCTGACCCTGTCCTCCTCTTCAGATGGGAAAGGATTGGACTTCACTGCTCCCAGGAGCCGTGTGTGCGTGTGCGTGTGTGCGTGCGCGTGTGCGCTAGTGCACCTGTGAGTGATTTCTGTTGATTTTCCCAAGGCTCTCAAGCTGGCTTGACCTCTGCTGCCAATACCACACTTAGCTAATTACCTTAACATTGCACTTATTTTTTGGATGGAGAGCAACAGTAAATGGATCTTCCAACATAAAATATTTTTGAGCTTTAAAATGAAAAAAAAGTACAATTCTAAAATTGCCTTGTGTTAGGTCAACAGCATTCAGGGTTTATTGAGGTGGCCTCCTTTCTCTTCGCTCTCTGGCTCCAGACCCAGCATCTTTTCTGGAGGCTTCCAGAATTTCATCAATGCACTCATGCTGTCCATGGCTGGTGATTTCCCCTTCGAGCCATTCGTTGTGGCTGCCTGTGCCGTGTCCACGGGCAGTCGTGGAATGTTTGCCCTGGACGTAGCTTTGGGGCATTTGACCACATAAGATGACCGTAGCCTCTCCAGCCCATCCCTCATTTCCTGTTTGTCTTGTTCTCCCACCTGGAGCAGAGTTTTCCTTGAGTGACGGGGAAGTGGTTCACGTCACTGACTTTGCAGATGTCCCGATGATGTACCAGTGATAATAAATACCACCGGGATGTACCAGCGATAATAAATACCACCGGGATGTACCAGTGATAAGAAATACCACCGGGGTGTACCAGTGATAATAAATACCGCCGGGGTGTACCAGTGATAATAAATACCACCGGCGTGTGTTATTTCTCTATATACCAATCCAAACTCAGCAAATTTGAAAAAAGAATGTTTGGTTCTAGACTAATCATCAAGGATGTTCCAATAAGCCTTATCATGGTTGATTCATCATGCTTTGTATTCTCTACTTTTCCCTGAAGGTAAAATTCCAGAATTGTTGTTGGGTAACTCAGCTGATGCACAGACCAAGCTGGTTCTCATCAACACAGCCTACTTCAAAGGAAGGTGGAATGAGCAATTCAACAAAACGTACACAAGGGAGATGCCTTTTAGAGTAAACCGGGTGGGGGAATTTTGAACATCCTGAGAATTTGCTGAAGAAATTGAATGGAAAAATTAACTTTGTAAAAATATAAATGATTGGTTAAAAAATAATTTGAAACTTAACATTTCTGAATGAAATTTTAAACTCAGTAGGTAAGAACTGAAGGTATAAAAAACACTTTCTGCTGGGACTTTTTTGCATTTTATTACCCTACTGCCTTGATAATTTCTTATCCAGTCATTGCTGTATGAATGTGTCCATCATACATTCATTTCTGGAAACTGAAGTTTTTCTTTTAAGCCCAAATTGCTCAGATAGAAAAGCACAAAAAAAAAAAAAATTTTTTTTAAACAGCCCACAGGTGTTAAGGAAGTGTGTGTGATATGTGTGTGACAGGGGGAGGGGGCAGGGGGAGAGAACATGAAAACATATTTCTTTAATCAGGTATTTAAAAAATGTGAATAAATATAGACTTGATTTGCTGTTAATTAATTTCTCATTATAAATTCAGTATTTATAGCTTTCTAATATTAAAACTGACAAAGACCTTAGTCTTGACATTGAGGTGTAACTTCGATTTAGGCAGGCATTAAAATAGTTTGCCAAACCTCTCAGCCCCTAAAACAAAATACGATTTTAATGCAATTAGGAAATTTATAGGAGTAAAACCCTCTTCTTAGAATAAGGTGTACTTTAAATAATCAGCCTTCTAATTGCAAAGGGGGGAGGGGGAGAACAACTTTTGGGGCATGGATTTTAGAAACTATCTTAATTTTTATAATAGGTGACCTGTGTCAACTTTTAAAAATGAATTTAATCAGTGTAGTATTTCAGTTAACTTCTGCATGCATATAGCATTTCTGTGTTTAAAAAAGTTATTTCCTCAAATTAGCATATCAGAATTGAGACAATTGGATTTAAGTGCATGAAGACCCGTGTGGCTCTTGACACTTGCTGCCACACTGCTTTCTGAGCCTGTGCATCCATCTACATTCTGGACCACATTGCTGTGAAACTATAGGCTTCATCCCACTTTATCATAAAACCTTTTTCTAATTAAATAGGAATAATTTTCTATTTAACTTCATTTGATTATACTGTTTGGTTAGGTGTATTTGCTGGGCATATTTTTAACTGTGGCAAATCTGACTTCCTGTTCTGGAAAATGCAGAGCATCACATGTATTTTGCTGAAGGAAACATCTCCTTTCCCAGGCTAGCACCTGTCTGCTGACAGCAGATGCCTTGTGATGGGAACAGGAAGCTGCTGGTGGACAGTTTGTAATTATTAACTAGGGCACAAATCCTGCTTCCATCCCGGGTGCCGCAAACACTCTGGAATCATGTTGCCTCTTTCAGGAATTGGTTTTTAATTCCGGCCTCACGTGTTTACTCCCGGCAGAAGGAGCAAAGGCCGGTGCAGATGATGTTTCAGGAAGGAGCGTTTAGACTCACCCACATAGAGGAGGTGCAGGCGTAGGTCCTCGAGCTGCCCTACGCAGGCGAGGAGCTCAGCATGTCATCTTGCTCCCTGATGGCCACGTGGCTCTGAGCTCGGTGAGTTGAACCCTGCAATACCCTCATGTCCTTCCTTCTAGGCTACAAGTCAAGCCCCTCCTCCACCTTCGGGGTGCACCTTTCAGGCTGGGATGCGGGCAGCCAGGCAGCAGGCAGTGTTCAGGCTCTTGGGCTCTGGATGCAACGGTTATTCAAGACCTATTTCTCCCGTTATCGCCACGTGACCTTGTCACATCACTCATCCCAGCCTCAGTCTTCTCACGTGGGGACAAGGCTAACATCTGCCTGATAGCCTAATTACGAGGATAAAATGGGGGTAGTTCAGGTAACAAGCATAGCACACTGTCTGGTCCACAATAAGCCCTGTGTAAATGTGATCCACTGTTATTATCATAATCATTGTTATGAGCATTATATTTTCATGTCTCTGTTCAGAACCTGAGACAGGGAATGACCTAACATGGGGGCAGGGGATGAGGCAGGAGCCTCACTCAAGGGGCAGAGCCAGAAACTCCCAAGATGACTCTCCCCAGCCACCTTGCTTCTTCTGGTGTGGATCCCTAGGCTGAGAGCTGACCGCTGCCCGGTAGATTCTAGCTGGGCACTGGGTGGCAGGCAGCGTCCCCATGTCCTGTGGGCCGGGCCGCTGTGAGCCGAGCTGCAGCCGTGGGCCTCTCCCTGTGAGGTCTCTTCTCCAGAAAGCACACGGGCCCCACCTCGAGGGGGGAGATCTCCCTTCGGGGCAGGCTACACCGAGAGCCCTTTCTTGTCCATCTCTTTTCTAAGCAGCAATGTCTTGTTGCCTTCAAAAATAATCAAAGTTCAAAGCAAAAAAGGCAGAGTAAACTGGGCCTTGAGAATTGTCAGGATAAAGTTTGTCTCCTGAAAGCCGTGGGTGAGGAGAGAGCAGCCAGGGTCCGGTGGCTCTGGGCTGCCTGGGCACCTCCCCGCCAGCCCCCGGCTTGGAAGGAAGCCGAGTGTGAACTAGTGCTAGTATGAGATCTCACACCTGTCCTGCACACCTGTCCTGCACACCTGTCCTGGCACGTGACGGGGGCGCTGGTCCGTCTGCGAGAGGAGAAAGGGTCAGGGGTGCCTGACGTGCTGAAGTAGGAATCACAAAGTGGAATTCTGGTCTTTCAGGTGGAAAAACATCTCACTTTTGAGAAATTCCTCGCCTGGACCCACCCAGACTGCATGAAAAGCACAGAAGTGGACGTTTTCCTCCCGAGATTTAAACGGGAAGAGGCTTATGACCTGGGGCCTGTGCTGCAGGGGCTGGGGGTGGTTGATGACTTCCAGCAGGGCAGGGCTGACTTCTCGGCCATGTCAGCCGGCAGTGACCTGTGTCTGTCCAGGTTTGCGCACAAGAGTTTGGTGGAGGTGGACGAGGAAGGCTGCGGCCACTTTGGCCGTGACAGTGGTGGAGTGTTGCATGGAGTCTGGACCCAGGTTCTGTGCCGACCGCCCCTTTGTTTTCTTCATCAGGCACAACAAAGCCAGCAGCATTCTATTCTGCGGCAGACTTTCCTCCCCATAGGGGATGCACTCCCCGTGCGTGGGGGCTTTTCCCTCTCTGTGTCCCCAAATCCCACTCCACAGCGCCCGGAGGATGGGCCTGGGCAGGTTCCCCCCCCCCCCCCCCCCCCCCCCCCCCCGGCTGAACGATCCGCCAGCACAATCCCTTGTTTCTTCCCCTGCTGACCACTTGTTTGTGCTACTTAACCAGGATCGCGGGACAGGAGAACTTAATGATTCCCTGCTGTATTTGAGATGCAGCCCAAACTCCACAGGACGGCAGGCAGAGTTCTCCTTTGTGGCCCCAGACTTACTTCCCACTCATTCCATGTACCATCCTCTCCAGTTACGCTGTGTTCTCAACTCTGGTCACATACTTGCCTTAGGCCATTTCAGTAGTATTAGAAGCTACTCGCTGTCGCTACCATTTTATAGATTTCCTGGTGCTTGTGCTTTTTAGGAAGTTTCTTTAATGCTCATTTTAATTTTATCCTTCTTTAACATTCATCGGTCACCACGAATGTTCCAAATACTGCGCTGGGGCTGCAAAGGGGTGGAGTCACCGTCCTCTGACACCTGACTACTAGTGCCCATGCCGGAATTAGGCAGCTTTGAGGACAACCAGGCTGGACTAGGTGATGCCCTTAAACTTACCGTGTGACCCCTTGTAGGGATCACACCTTTCTTCGTGTTACTGTATTTCTGCACCTCAAACTCTAACGGTAAAAATCCCATTCAACCCTTAAAGCTCATTTCCAATGTCTTCTCTTCTCCGAGAAATGCTTCCTTTTCTGCGTAACCAGACGTGTGTCTGAACTCTCACTGCACCGAGGGAGGGCGTGTCTCTTATGGTAGTTGCGTTCTCCAGCTAGACTTTAAGTTCATCAGGGGTTGGAACTGTGTTTTACACATCAGTGTGCCACTTATTGTGCACTGACGAGCAGTTTGATCTTTGATGAGCTCTGTGACTTAAAAAAAAAACGGATTAGAAATCAGCGATTTTATTGGTTTTTCTTTTAAGAATTCTTTTTATCAAGGTGAAATTCACATAACATAAAATTACCATTTTAAAGTGAACAATGCATTGGCCTTTAACAATGTTGTGCAACCACCACGGTGATCTAGTTCCAAAAATATTTTATCACCCCGATGGAAAACCCTGTACCCGCCACGCAGTTACTCCCCATTCCCTCCTTCTCCCACCCCGCCGGCAGACACCAACCTGCTTTCCATCTCCATGAATGTACCTGTGCTGGTAATTTCATGTAAGTTGAATAGTATAATATATGTCCTTTTGTGTCTGGCTTCTTTTGCCTCGCGTAATGTGCTCAAGGTTCATCCATGTTGTAGCAGGTGTCAGCACTTCATCCTTTTTTATGTTTGAATAATATTGCATCGTATGGATAGAGCACATTTTGTTTATCCAACCGTCCATTGGTGGACATTTGGTTTGTTTTCACCCTTCGGCTATTTGTGAGTAATCCTATGCTCCTATGCTATGAATGTGCACGTACATGTATTTATTGGAATATTTGTTTTTCATTCTTCTGGGTACAATACCTAGGAGGAAATTGCTGGGTCGTATGGTAATTGTATGTTGAACTTTTTGAGAAACCACCAAACTTCTTTCCACAGTGGCTGCTTTTCACTGGCACCGTATAAGGGTTCCAATTTCTCCATAGCCTTGCCAATACTTGTTATTCTCTTTCTTTTTTTAAAAAAAAAAAAATTATGGCCATCCCAGTGAGTGGGAAGTGATATCTCATGTAGTTTTCATTTGTATTTCCCTAACGACTAATAATGTTGAGCATCTTTTCACGTGCTTACTGACCATTTGTATATATCTTCTTTGGAGAAAAGTTTGTTCAAGTCCTTTGTTCATTTTTTCACTGGGTTGTTTGTCTTTTTGTTGTCAAGGTAAGAGTTCTTTATATATTCTGGATACTAGACCCTTATCAGATATGTGACTTGCAAGTATTCTCTCCCATCTTTAGGTCCCTTTCTTGATAATGCCCTTTGATCCACAAAAGTTTTTAGTTCAATGAAGTTCAGTTTATTTTTTTTCTTTTGTTGCTTATACTTTTGGTGTCATAGCTAAGAATCTATTGCCCTATCCAAAGTCATGAAGATGTACAGCTATGTTTTTTCCTAAGACTTTTGTGGTTTTAGCTCTTGTATTTAGATTGTTAATCCATTTCAATATCTATGATATGAGGTAGGGGTACAACTTAATTTTTTTGCATATGGGGTGCCCTGTTGTCCCAGTACCTGTAACTCTTTTTGAATTGAAAAACGTGTTGATAATAGTCAAAAAGGAAAGGTAAAATCTGAAAAATTACTCAATTTTGAAGAAACACCATAGCCGAATTGAAAGAAAATATTATTAAAATATTATTAAATATCTATAAAAATTATATTTGCCAACAATATACCTGATAAGGGGTTAATATCCAAAATATACAAAGAACTCATACAATTCAACATGAAAAACAAACAGTCTGACTGAAAAATGGACAGAGAACCTGAATAGATATTTTTCCAGAGAAGATGTACAGACGGCCAACAGACATATGAAAAGGATGCTCAACATCATTAATCATCAGGGAAATGCATCAGGTTCCTCAAAAAAATTAAAAGTGGAACTACCACATGATTAACAATTCCACTTCTGGGTATTTTCTCAAAGAAAACAAAAACACTAATTCAAAAAGATACATGTACCCCTATGTTCACCGCAGCATTGTTCATAGCAGCCAAGATATGGAAGCAACCTAAGTGCCCATCGATAGATAGATGGATAAAGAAGATGTGGTATAAAGGAGTCAAGATGGTGGCACGGGAGGGCGCAGAGTTCGTGTCTTCTCAAAACTAGGGCGCCTGCCGGTTGCTGGTGGGGGACCCTGATGCCCAAGGAGACGGGGAGAACCCCCAAGAGAACGGATGAATGGATAAAGAAGATGTGGCCCATGTAAACAATGGAATATTACTCAGCCATAAAAAGAAACGAAATTGAGTTATTTGTAGTGAGGTGGATGGACCTAGAGTCTTTCATACAGAGTGAAATAAGTCAGAAAGAGAAAAACAAATACCGTATGCTAACACGTATATATGGAATCTAAAAAAAAAAAAAAAAAAGGTTCTGAAGAACCTAGGGGCAGGGCAGGAATAAATACGCAGACGTAGAGAATGGACTTGAGGAACGGGGAGGGGGAAGGGTAAGCTGGGACGAAGAGAGAGTGGCATGGACATATATACGCTACCAAACGTAAAATAGGTAGCTAGTGGGAAGCAGCCGCATAGCACGGGGAGATCAGCTCGGTGCTTTGTGACCATCTAGAGGGGTGGGATAGGGAGGGTGGGAGGGAGGGAGACGCAAGAGGGAAGAGATATGGGGACATATGTATGCATATGGCTGATTCGCTTTGTTGTGCAACAGAAACTAACAGTATTGTGAAGCAATTATACTCAAATAAAGATCCATTAAAAAAAAAAAGATGTGATACACACACACACACACACACACACACACACACATACACATATATACATAATGGAATATTAGCCATAAAAAAGAATGAAATCTTGCCATTTGCAGCAACATTGATGGACCTAGAAGTATTGTGCTAAGTGAAATCAGTCAGACAGAGGACAAATACCATATGATTTTACTTATATGTGGAATCTAAAAAACAAACCAAATAAACAAACGTAATAAAATAGAAACAACGTCTTAGCTACAGAGAAGTAACAGTTGGTTGCCAGAGGGGAGGTGGGTTGGGGGAAGAGAGAAATGGATGAGGCAGATTAAGAGGTACCAACTTCCAGTTACAAAAGAAGTCATGGGTATGAAATGTACAGCGTGGGGAATATAGTCAATGATAATGTAATATCTTTGTATCGTGACAAACGGTAGCTAGACTTATCATGGTGAACATTTTGAAATGTAGAGAAATATGGAATCACTATGTTGTGTACCAAGAACTACCATAGCGTTGTAGGTCAATTATACGTCAGAAAACAAACAAACTCATAGAAAAAGAGATCAGATTTGTGGTCACCAGAGGTAGGGGTGGGTGTGGGGTAGGGAGAATTGGAGGAAGGTGGTCAAAAGGTACATACTTCCAGTTATAAGATGAATAAGTACTGGGGGTGTGATGTACAACCTGATAGATATCACTAACACTCCTGTCTGTTATCTATGAAAGTTGTTAGGAGGGTAAATCCTAAGAGCTCTCATCACAAGGAAAAATGTATGAGATTGTGGATGTCCACCAAACTCACTGTGATAATCATTTCATGATGTATGTTAAATCAAATCATGATGTTGTACCCCTTAAACTTACACAGTGCTGTATGTCAATTATATCCCAATAAAATTGGAAGAAAAAAATGAAATTCAATTACGAAATTTTTAAAAATCAACAAGGAATTGATACCAGCTTATACAAAGTACTCCTACAAATCAAAGAGAATAAGGCAGTAAATTCGTAGTCAGAGAAATACAAATGAAATACTTTGAGATACTGCTCTAGGTGCATTGGATGATTGGTGTCAGAAAGTTGGACACAACCTGGTGAAAGCCAGAAAGTAGGGGAATAGCACTTCCAGAACAGGAACTGAGACACCCGCATAGGAAGTAATCTGTCAGTGTTCTCAGTGGGCGCCTGTCTCGGGATCTGGGTGGCTCCCTTCCAGGTCTGTGGTCCAGTGATGTCATGACCAAGTCCCTGAAGGCACTGGGACTGGGATCTTCACTGTGGCCTCATGTGTAGAACAAGGAGTCGGAAGCCACCTAAGCGCCCATGTCAGAGGGGAACAGATCATGAAAATGTGGGGCATGCTTTGGAATAACTGCATAGGAGTCAGAAACTAAAGTGCAGGCTAGGTGTACGTTCAGTCTGGTGGATAGATGATGTGTGAAAAGAGGTAGAAGGAGGCGTATAATCCAATTCCTTTTACATAAATTAAAAACATCTGCAACATTATATATTATACAAGGATACACACCTATTGTATTTCTTT